GTCATGTGACGTACTTCACTTTCACTTCCCTTTTAGTACATTTAAGCAAGTTTAGTATGGGACATTCTGAACAGATGTACAATTCAAAACTCTTAAAACGAACCAGAGAACAGGACAGGCAGAAATGTCACACAGAAACACACAGCATCAACGAGAGACAAGGATCCCCCCCTCAATCCGATCCAAGTCATCACTGGATTGCTTAAATAACCATAACCCCCATCCTCTTCTGATTGGTCCACTCGTGAGAGCCAATCGCAAACCCTATATATATATATATATATATATATATATATATATATATAAGACAAAAGCACATCTATATTGGTAAAAAAAATTTTAAAACATTACTTTAAAGAAATCTTTTAGTTGTTTCTTGGGATTCACAGGTATTTTGATGAAAGTGTTTATGACCATTCACTGCCATAAAAAAAAAAAAAAACTGGAAAGGGGTTGAAGATATTAATAAAAATCCACTTGCTTTCATCTGAAATAAGAAAAGCCAATAATCGTTTATCTCTCTGGGCTTTTCTTCAAATTTATTTCAATTGGTCAACATAAAATCTGATGTTCAATTCATAAAAATTAGTTTTGAACTAGTTTTTTTTTTATGAATCGCTCAAAAAGCTTCACAAAACAGCATCAAAATAAACACTTCTTGACTTGAGACTCACATTTTCCGATGGCCAATTAACACATTTTTTTGTTTGTTGCTGTTTTTAGTAATCTAACAACTATAAAAAGCTGTTGAATGCGTCTTAACTAATGGCCGTCTTGTCATTTGTGTATTTTGAGGCTTGGATTAGCAATTTCAGCCAAACGCTCACTTTTACCTCTCAAGCCACAGCAAATGTCAGTACATGTGGGCACATACTGTACAGTTCACTGTCATTGTCACTCAGTATTATCATCATCATCATCATAAAAAAGGATTATCATTACCAGTGAATATCATTTTTATTCCCTTATATAGTGTATTAAAGAGTTACAGCATCCAGCACGTCCCAGACGGCACCGTCATCGTGGAATCCATCGTCATTAAAGTCACGTCTTCAGCAGAGGAGCCAAATCTCAAAGTCATCCTGCTCTCCTGGAGCTATCAGGTTAACAAACCCAAATCTCAGCTATATGCTCATTCACAACATTATTTCCTAAAGGTGTTTTTGAACAGGAGTAATATTAGGAATTTTTACCATTGCAAAATATCACTTTTGGGTTTATGTGGAAATGTTTGTTTTTTTGAGGCTTGTGGTTGGTCTAGTGGAATTTACAGCATCTCGTCGCCCCCACTAGGAAAAATGTTTGCCCTTATGTTTCCAAACAAACATGGGTTATACGCAGGGTCAGTCAGAAGATGCCACAGTGCGTCACAATCGCCAGTTAAAATAGCAACAACTACGAACAAACAAAAGTTTGTGGTTTCACGCTTCATCTTATAACACACCTTTTAATATTACACTGTAACATCCCCGAAATTGACATTGTGCTTATTTCATTTTAAATAGAATTTTAAAGTGAGAGTGTATTGAATTGAATTGAATTTTATTTTACAGATTTTAGATAAGCTGTACAAAAATACTTGTGTTCCATACGTTTTGAAATAAAAACTGTTGAGGATAATAACACAATAAAGCCCTGGGCTTGTTTCTATTGTGGTCCTCGCTGTTAAATAAAACAATGTATGGCTTCAAAATACAGACGATGCATAAAAAAAGTACCTCCACATTTTTAAAACGGGAACAAAATAGTTCACAAATACATTCCTTTTTTTTTTTTTTTTTTTTTTTTTTTTTTTTTACTTTTTTTTTGTAATATCAGGGTAACAATAACAACATCATACAAAGAGTGTACATGACTTTAACAGAGAAGTAAAGCATCAAATAAGCACATACAAGAGAAAAAAACAACAAAAACAAATCATATAAAATGATGTATTAAGAAAATTAAAAAAGGAAAACAAGTTAAAATGGCTTTAAGATTTTTAGAGGAAGCAATAGTTCTAAAGTACTTTTGAATTTCCTTTTTTAAAAACAATAAAACAAGGTTTACGCTGAGAGAATTTACAGCGGTGTATATGGAATTTAGCAAGGATTAGAAGGAGATTAATAATGAAATTTTCCTTACTTTTATCATCAGGAGTAATGAAAAAACCCAACAGGATATCCTTAAAAGATAACAAGAATCCCGGTAGTATTTTTCGATAAATTTCCAAGGAAAGTTCAATTCAAAATCATTCACAAATACATACGTTCATTCATTTTTCTTTTCGGCTTAGTCCCTCTATTAATCAGGGGTCACCACAGCGGAATGAACCATCAACTTATCCAGCATATATTCCAGCTGCAACCCTATTCACAATCTAGTAACCTATAAAATAAACATCCTCGTCCACCAAACTAATTATCCTCATAAGACATTTAGACATTTAGGTAGTTGCAAAAGATTCAGATAAATGCTGCTCTTTTGTGTTTTGTTCATGCAACAGCTTTTTTTTTTGTAAACATATTGGACAACAAAGTCATTTTCAGTATTGCCAATGATAATAATTCTGCATATTGGAATTATTTATGAAGGATCATGTGACATTGATAAAAATGTTGCTAGTCCATTATATTAAATTGAAAATTATTATTATTTACTGCAACATTTTACAATATGTTTGATCAAATAAACACTGAGCATAAATGATGCATGCGTTTGAAGATATTGATTAACTCGTATTCTAATTTATACATTACCTGACGAAAGTCTTGTCGTCAATCCCTGTTGTAAGAGCAACAAATAATAACTTGACTTCTATCATTTGGAAAAGTGGCAGAAAGTAGATGAATCACCTGTTGAACTGCAACCCAATCATCACTAACACTACAGAAGACCTATTGGAACCCACATGGACCCGAGATTCTTACTGAAATCAGTTAAGTTTTGTGAAGGAAAAATCATGGTTTGGGGTTACATTTAGTATGGGGGCGTACGAGAGATCTGCAGAGTGGATGGCAACATCAACAGCCTGAGGTATCAAGACATTTGTGCTGCCAATTACATTACAAACCACAGGAGAGGGCAAATTGTTCAGCAGGATAGCGCTCATTGTCATACTTCAGCCTCCACATTAAAGCTCCTGAAAGCAAAGAAGGTCAAGATGCTCCAGGATTGGCCAGCCCAGTCACCAGACAAGAAAATTATTGAGCATGTCTGGGGTAAGATAAAGGAGGAGCCAATGAAGATGAATCCAAAGAGTCTTGATGAACTCTGGGAGTCCTGCAAGAACGCTTTCTTTGCCATTCCAGATGACTTTATTAATAAGTGATTTGAGTCGGTGCAAAGATTTATGGATGCAGTCCTCCAAGCTCATGGGAGTCAAACACAATATTCATTCCTTTTCCACTGCAGCATGACTTTATATTCTATACTGGACATTATTTCTGTTAAGTGACAAGACTTTTGTCTGAGCGAAGTCAGACCTTACTGTCCTGATTAAATAATTAAAAATCAAGGCATGATCATATTTTATTTTGGTAAAATAAGCGTAATCTAGAGGCCTTTGCCTTTCATATAAGCCACTTCCGATACCAAATGATCAACTAGAAGTCAAGTTATTATTTGTTGCTCCTAAAACTTGGATAGGCGACAAGACTTTTGCCAGGTAATTTATGCTGCTGTTAATACAATAATAGTATTTATTTTGGTAAATAATCTTTTAGATCCCATCTTGACGTATATGTGTGTAATTGTCTTAAATGTGTCTCCCTCAGGATGAGGAATTGGGCAGTTTCTTGTCTACATTGTTGAAGAAAGGTCTGCCTTCTTGACTGCTGAAGCTCAACTGATGTTTTTCTTTAGTTAAAAATAAATAAAGATTTTTTTTTTTATAAAATGAATCAAGAAGTCTGTCATTTGTGAAAATATATTTATTTCTTAGATCTTAATATCTGTATAAAAGGATTGACATGAAATGAGATGCATTCACACACATGCACATGCACACACAACCCAAAACTTGCATAAACTTGACTCAATATAACTCCGCATATAATCTTTCTGTGTCTTATTTAAAATAGCAGTCATTCTCAATTGTTTTTGCTCTTTACTGTGGGGGAAAACCTGACTTAAAATTACAAGAACTAAGAATGAAGTCTTTATTAATGTGGGAATCCCCAACTCATAGTTACAAGAGGTTCAATAGGTTTTCATATTTCGGTTTTGTACTGTATTAGCACAATACTATGAGGAGAAAGCCTGACAAAATGTTCCTTTAAGATACAGTCTATTTTTTATATTTCTTTGTAGTTGTACAATTAAATATGCAGCCTGCCCCAGAGTTACCAGAAATCAAATTACTTTTCAAATGTCTCTACTGTTGTTCAATTATGTATTGACAAAAACTGACGGACGATTTTTAAAAGTGTTATTGGAGTTATACATCATTTTGTATTGTGTATATTTGCACTGTAGCCCAGAGTCACGTATGTCAGAATGGACTTTATAAAATAAAATAGTTTTATTTGGTTTGTTTTGCACTGCATTAGCACAGTTATTTATAAAAAAAAAAAAAAAAAATTGACTTAAAGTTACATAACGTCAAACTGGAGTTCATAGTTCTATGTTGTATATGTTTGCAATGCAGCACAGTTGTGAGTAAAAAATGACCCACTGTTTGTCAAACTGGAGTCATTATCGTCAACACAATCTAACAACAATTTCTACTATTTTTAGCTAATTAGTTGCTCGTTTGTATTATTTAATCATACTTTTTAGTAAAAATGACTCATCCCCTAATGATGGTTGGGTTTAGGGGTGGGCCTCCTTCTAAAAACTATCATTTTTTTTCATACGAATTGAATTGTATGTATTCATACACTCTCAGAAATAAAGGTGCAGGAGCTGTCACTTGGACAGTACCTTTTCAAAAAATTCATATTCGTACCCAGAGTCCACAGTGGTACCTCAAAGGTGTATATTAGTACCCAAATGTATCTAAAAAGTACTTTTGAGGTACCATTATGGACCCTTTAGGTCCAAATATGTACCATTTGCAAAGGGACTGCCCCAGTGACAGCTCCTGCACCTTTATTTCTGAGAGTGTATGAATACATACAATTTCATTCAAACCTCATCCCTAAACCCAACCATCATTGGGGATTGAGTCATTTTTACTAAAACGTATGAATAAATAATACAAATGAGCAACTAATTAGCTAAAAATAGTAGAAATTGCTGCTAGATTGTGTTGACGATAATGACTCCAGTTTGACTTTTTAGGACCTTTTTTTTCTGAGAGTGTACGAATTATCTACTCTTCTGGACATCTTTGCACTGGAGTAATACAATCATTTAAGAACAAAAAAAAAACTCAATAAGTCAAGTCTACAGTTCTGTCTTGTATATTGCTGCACTGTATTAGGACATTTATGTAAGGGGAAAAAATTACTCAAGTCAAATCATCACATATGGCTTTATGTTGTATATTTTTCACTTTAGTTGCACACTTATGAATTAAAAATTATGGATTGACACCGTAGTGGTTGAACTAGATCTTGCAGTCCAATTTCAAAACATTTGAGAGGGTTTTTATTTACCGGCTTCTCCTCCAACGATGACTCTACGTAAACCCAGGTTGCCAGTTTGACAACCCCAACAGGAGCGAGCCGGGCGATCAAACCTTGCTGTAAGCTATTTAGCTAATGTTTACGTTTGTAATATTTATATTGTTTGCGAATTCAAAAACACTGTGGAATTTTCTAACTCTAAATCTATGTCTCATTTCAGAGGCTACTACAGTATTCCAAAGGTCGCATTTCAGCCGCTCCCACATACATTGAGGCAGCCTTCAAAACTGAAATGAAATGTGCTGTATTTTCCGCCAATGCAACCAGGGGTGTTGAAATATAATTGGGTAAGCTGGCAGAGGGCGGAGTTACACCAATCAAAACAAAGATTTTTCAACACAGAACGCTCATTTTTAATAAGAATAATTTCTTATATTTATTTTACGCTTTCCTGGACACTCAAAGTAGTGAAGAGCTGGAGGGGGCGAGGCGACAGTGCAGGAACTAAAGAGCGGGGAGCAGGTGTGGAGATGGTTGCACATGGGGACAGTACCAAATAGCTGGCTGGACTGTACCAAAAAGCTAAGGGGGGTGGAATTCTGGGAGTTTTCCTAATGACAGAACAATACAGAAGATTGGTCTGAAATACAGAAGACTCCCTTGAAAAACAGAAGTGTTGGCAGGTATGCCCTACTCTTTTCCGAAGGACGTCCTGGGATTTTTAACGACCACAGAAAGTTAAGACCTCAATTAAATGTCTCATCCATAAGACGGCACTCACTAAACAGTATAGAGTCCCCTTCACTATACTGGGGCGTTAGGACACACACAGTCCGCGGGTTGAGCGCCCCCCTGCTTGCCTCACTAACACCACTTTCGGCAGCAACCAAGCTTTCCCATGTTTCCCATCCAGGTACTGACCTCGCTTCAGTGGGCAACCATGTAAGAGTTGCATAGAGCTAGCTGCCGGCTAGAATTTTTAAAGGAGAATAACTGACTTTAGCATTGTTATTCGGATAAACATGTATGTTAACACATTTTTAAAACATCTGCACACATGTTAACGTCTTTTTTTATGCTTGAGAAGAGTCCAAAACTTACAGCACCTTTAATCAAACTTGCAGCGAGTCAAACTAGAGTCCACATTTCTGTTTTGCAGTTGCCATTGCAGATGGACATGTTATTTTTATTTATTTGTTTAGATGCCCACTTGTCTTACATGGCACAGAGCTCTCTAATTGGAAATTGATTTCCCTCAAAATCCATTGGAAATGGAATAAACCCCCTTTTTCTTCTTCAGCCTCAGCCTTTTGAGCCTCCACTTGTAGTGGCCAGTGGCAAAATAGTACAATATCGGGTCCAAGAGGCTGTTCAGACTGACCAGAGCCATGGTCACCCTACGCAGAAAGTAAATCCAGTCGTCTTCTTGGTTTTCACTCAAGCGTGACAGAAGGTGCACTAGATGGACCACATGGTAAGGCAGGAAACACAGAATGGTGATGGCCAGGATGGCATAAATGATCCTTCGAGCTCCACGGGCGGTCGAATTCTTGATTTGGCTGATTCGATGGGCCACGAGTGGGTAACAAACCAAAATGACCACAGAAGGAAGAAGGGATCCAAAGATGAGGCTGCATACACTGTAGGGCGCCAAATCACTCCATTCTTTTGACGTGAATCCCTCAAAGCACATTTTCTCTTTGGTTGACAACGGGCATGTTAGCATGAAGGCCAACATGGCCGACCCAGAGACCAGCCAAACTGCTCCACTCACCAGCGCAGTGAGCCAAGTGTTGCGAAGTCGAAGGTAAGTGTGAGGGTGGAGGGTGGCGATGTATCTGTCAACACAGATGCAGGTCATGAAGGTGATGCTAATGTACATGTTGGCGAAGAATATGGTGCCGGTGATGCGACACATGGCATCGCCGAATATCCAGTTGCTGTCGTTGAGGTGGTAGTGAATGCGGAAGGGCAGGGCGAACAGGAAAAGCGTGTCAGCCACCGCTAGGTTAATGATGTATATGTTCGAAGGCGATTTCTGCTGGATTTTGAAGATGAAGTAATACAGCGCTCCCAGATTTCCGATCAATCCCAAAACCAGCACCAGGATGTAGACGGGTGGGAAGAGGTAGCGCTGGAAGAGCAGGAATTTCACATCGCTGTGGACGGAGGTGGCGTTTTCCATCATGTTGAGTTGCTTTTGTTCATAAAGAGGTTTCGAGATTCAGCTCTCAAGACTTGCTAGAACGGCAGTGAATGCATTATTGTATTGTTCCTTGTTTTGGGTGATAGACTGGTTTTCAGTTCCCTATCAGTATAGAGGTGATTTTTCTGTTAGAAAATAGTGGGAAAAAAACACATTAATGACATTTGATGTTTATTTAAAGGTGTGAAGATCTTGTTCTGTTGAAGCATGCTGGAAAACATGGTTTAGAAAAAGATAAATACCAGATAAACCATAACCATCTGTTGCATAAGATTTATTACTAAACAGGACGTTCTACCAGAAACGGACATTTTCACTTATGAAAATGTAACAGGGCCTGACCTTTAAACTTGTTTTCCTCAGAAAAAGTATACAAAAATAACCATTAAATCATACAATTCAATGATAAACGCATCCTTGATCAGTCAGCTTATCCTCCATCAAATGTTAATTCATCTGAGTCATAGCCTTAAAGGTGTAATGCACGCATTTTATTATGAAATTATATTAAATTTAATGCAAACGTGACAGGACTGACAAACATCGGGGCTACTGTAAAACAGTATTTATTTGTGAAATTTATTTATAATTTCATGTTTTTAATCAATCGGATGTGAATGATAACTGAAATTTGCTATTTCTGAAAAAAAAAACATTTTTAACAGTTTTTAGCATAACAAAACTATAAAAACTGTAGGTTCAGTAGGGCTAATGACAAGGACAATGGCAAAGTTTGTACATTTGTGAAATGTTTTTAATAAACAAAAGAAAAAAATCTGGAGAACTAAGTGAATGACATATTTCTTGACTGAAATCAACCATCCAGCCATTTTAGACTTTTTTGGGATGAAATACTTTTTATTCGCTGTATTGTTTATTGTTTATATGTTGTTGTTGTTTTTCTGGTAGAATGTTGCAAATACAATAATTAGAATTACTATGACTATTATTTTTAGTTTATTAGTAGTTTAAATTTGAGAAATATTTCATGATTTTTTTTTTCATTTATTTCATTTTTCAGTTCACAGTAAACTTCCATTTAGCGATGCTAGTTTAGCTGGCATTAAAATATTTAAACATAAATAGGCTACAAATTTTTTGTGAACTAAGATGAACTCTAATATTTATGTTTCAAAAATATTTATCAAGATTTATAAGTGCAGTATATGTTGCTCATTCTTATCTAATGCTAATAAATAAACCTAGTTAATGTTACCAAATTAAATATAACGTTTTCCTTTATTTGAAGTAGTTTTAATTGTGGGCTAAGGTTAGTAACGATCATTGCTTGTTTAAAAAAAATTGGAACACTTTACAATAACAGTACATGATTAATGATGTGTTAATATGTTAACTACCCAGGAAGCAAAGAATTCTGGCCCAGATTTGGCGTAAAGCTGGCACAGCAGGCATTCATGTGGCACTGGCATACGGCATGTGGGGCAAATGTAGCCCAGGTTTGGAAGAGGTGGCATCATCTTTAAAGCAGCACACAATATTTGGGCCAGATGTTAATAATTAATATGTGGGCCATGCAAGTTTGGCCTAGCTTGACCCAAATTTAAAATACATTTTTAATATTTTTGAATAAAGAAAAAAATTCTACCAATCAGATTGCTTCAAGATAAAAGCACAATGCTTCATGGGTTTATCAATTTCATTGCTGGTTGTGATGCACCAACATATCTGGTCCAGATATGGTCCATGTTTGGCCATTGTCTGGCGTTCAGACTTGGTCCACTAATGTACTGTAATTCACTGTAGCATGTGGGCCAAGCTGATAGTGTGGACCAGAGAAATTTTTCTATGTGGGTAAACAGTACTTTACTGTGAACTGATGATGAGTTAATGTATGTGCTAGTAATGAACTAACTTTAACCACACTGAGTCACATGAGTTCATGTGTGAATACCTTAATTACTTGTGTATTAATGTATTAATTACCACATTTGTTTATGCTTTATTTAACCATCATGAACTCATGATATTTTAATGTATAATTATCTCATGACTTTACTTGGAGAGGCACATCTTCATTAACCTATTCTTAACTCATGAACGCACATCCGTCCACCGCGCTTACACTGAACAACAATAGACAAGTGTTCTGTTGACATCAACATGACCAGTTTTCACACAGGGAGTTCATGTTAAGGATGAGTTAAATAAGCAAATTCACTACATAATAATAGCTCATGGGTTCATGTTGGTTACGTTTAGCTTAAACTTAAATGTTAATTAATACATTAATTAACAACATGTACTAGTAATTAAGGTAGCCAATACTCACACATAATCTCATGTGACTTATGTGGTTAATGTTAACCCAGATCAGCACGCGCCTTAACTCATCCCTGCTGAAAAATCCAGCTTAAACCAGCCTAGGCTGGTTGGCTGGTTTTAGCTGGTCGACCAGGCTGGTTTTAGAGGGGTTTTGGTCACTTCCAGGCTGGTTTCCAGCCATTTCCAGCCTGTTCTTAGCTGGTCAGGCTGGAAAATGACCAGCCAAATCCAGCTAAAACCAGCTTGACCAGCCTGGTTTAAGCTGGATATAGCTGGTTTTGGCTGGACTCCCAGCTTGGCTAGGCTGGTCAAGCTGGTTTTAGCTGGTCATCTCCCAGCCTGACCAGCTAAGATCGGGCTGGAAATGGCTGGAAACCAGCCTGGAAGTGGCCAAAACCCCTCTAAAACCAGCCTGGTCGACCAGCTAAAACCAGCCAACCAGCTTAGGCTGGTTTAAGCTGGATTTTTCAGCAGGGATTAATTCATAGTTTACTTCACATATTAATAATTCATGTACTGTTATTGTAAAGTGTTACCAAAATAGCCTATAAGGTCACTTCCAAAGTGATATAAAATAGGAAATAATAAGCTTACAATTTTCTTTTAAAAATCACACATTTCCGTGTTGCAGCATCTATTAATTGTACTGTAGAGTTGTGTTCGCGGTATTTTTAATAATAACGCTTAGCGACGTCACGTTGTCATAGAAACGTAATAAATAAATGTAATAACGTTTATTTAACGAGCTAGCAAATGGGTCGTCGTATCTTGCACGCTTTGTGGCATCTCAAACAGAGTATTTTTGGGTCGACCCATTTACTTGTAAGCGCCTCACTTTTTAAGAACATTCGGCTAACATTTTTGAGGTAAGTTAATCAACATTTCACACGTGATAGCATGAACAAGAACTGTTCCTTTAAAACGAATGAATTAAAATAAGAACATATTCTCAATTTTATATTCATTTTCCATTGAAACTTTTATCCTAAGCTCAAGTGGCTAACTTACTTTAAATTAACACACAGAAAACAGCATCACTTGTATTTTAATTAAACCTCCTTACCGTGTTCAAAAAGTCCTTGAAGAAAACCCAGAATTAGCACAAATCAGAAGCAGAAACGCTGATTATTTTCATCTCAAGCCTTGTGTAAGCTGTTTATGTGTTGCTGGTGGAAACTTGTTCTGTAGACTGTGGTTTTATGCAGTGATGTGAATAGACAGCACAGGAAATCCAGAAAGTGCAGCTTCCCCCAGTGTTTTGAGGGCGAGGAGGGGGACATGCACACATATCAGCACGTGGAAATTATGCTTTCATTGTTCCACTGAACATATTGTGGCTATATTTCTGAAGTGGGTGCTGAAATGTACTCTTAAAGCGATAGTTTACCCACAAAATCAAATTCTTGTCATCATTCACTCATTCGTTTACAATTGTTTATTCCTTTGTCTCCACTTCCTTCATACCTGTTTGAGTTTTTACTTAGTTGAACTCAAAGGTGGATATAACCTACTGTTGGAATGTTGGGTAAAAAACAGCCATTAATTTCCATTATTTAATCATTTATTACTATTGCTACTTTTTTGTCCAACATTCTTCAGAATAGTGTTGTCTCGATTGTGGAATTTTCAACTTAAATAGACGTATACTATTTTATAAACATTCAGGATGCGCACGCAACGAGGTTGCAGAAAAAAACAGGAGCGCTAGCATTTACAGCGAAAAAATGACATCAGATGCGGTACAGAGTTTGTTGTATTATAGATAAGTTATATTAATTATATATAATATATTATTTACATAATGAGTTCAGTGTATTATAACAGCTTGTTTCTCAGTGATAAGCACAGTTATTCTGCAAACTTAACGATAAAGTGAGCGGCGTTCATCTGACAGGTCCATTTGCGATAGCACCCTCCCAATGGATATTAGATAAGACGAAATGGCCAAGCATCCAGCCCAAAATACACAACGATCTCATTGAAACTCCAAGGGCCCTATCATACACGGCGCAGTGTGGCGCAAGGCGTGACGCAGTAATCTTTTGGTAGTTTCAGCTTGGCGCAAGAGTGGTTTTGAGGCGTTGCGCTATGCTGCTTAAATAGCAAATGCATTAGCGCTCATTTTTGCGCACATAGGCGTTCTGGTCTAAAAAGGAAGGCGTTCTGAGGCGGACCGCTGGCGCGTTGCTATTTTGAGAAACTATAATAGATTTTTCATTAGACCAAAACTAACCTGGTCTAAACTCTGGCGCAGAGTTGCGCCTCGCTTACGCACTGCTTAATACACGCAAGAGAGCAATAGGCAAATATCTTTACATATGAAAAATGTAAATATTAAGGATATATATAGGATATAATAAGAATAGATATAGAATATAAATATAAAGGATTAAAATATTACAAAACATATTATTTTCTACCCTACATAAATATGAAAAATCACTGCTTTTATGTCTTCATCTCGGGAGGCTTTTTCAGTTCATTCATAACAATTTGCTTTTGTATAATGTTATTATTATTAGCAGTGTTATTTATTATATCCATATTTATATTTGTTTTATTAAAAACGAGCTTAGATTTGCCCACCTGTCAGGTTTTAGACCATTTGGGGCACAGCATGTGTTTTAGGATATAACACATTTTGCTATTATTATTCATTTATTCGTTTGCTGGAAATTAGAACTGAATTTAGAAATAGTTTTGAAACTAATATTTGCGCTTAACAAACAAAAGTATTTATTTATAGACTATAATTGATGTCTCTGTGTAAAGGTTTCCCTATCCAAGAGCGAAAGTGAAAGTGATCCATTATCTCTCCTTCTCACGCAGCAGATGCTCTGTTTAACAATTTTCTGTTAAAAACTGTCAACTGTTAACTGTTTGCTTGTGAAAGGCTAATTTTTTTCACTTAGAATTACTTTGCGTCCTGTAAATAGTGAATGCGCTCTTGGCGCGACGCAGCTGACTCTTAAAGGGAATGGGAGATGAGACTCTAATTATTTTATTCTTAAAACACACCTATAACTCATTAAGAAAATAAACTCAACCCTTTTAGACCATACGCCGAAGCGCAAGGCAGATTTCCTGTCCTTAAATTAGCAAAAACGCGTCCTGACATGCCCTGAAAGCATTTGCGCCCTGCGTTTTGCGCTTTGCGCATGGACCGTCAAAATAGAGCCCCAAGTGTTTTTACAAGAGAGAAGTTAAAGGCCTACAAGTCTTTGGATGTCTATAATGTTGTTCTGTGTGGTCATGTGCAAGAAATATTGTTCCATGATAACTAGATTCAAAACAAAGACAAGGAAAGAAGACTGAGCTGTGCAAGGCCTGGATAAT